TTGTCTCTGTTGTCCAAAGACAACGACTTCTGGAGACAGAAATGGAGTCTCTTATTAATTGGTGTGACTCTAAGAATAAAGACAAGCGATCGCCAAATAAACCGGTATTTGATTTACTCGAAGACAATCAAGTGATGATTGATTACACTTATAGTGTCTGTTATTGTGTATGAATTTGTAACCAAATGTTAGAAATAATGCAAACAAAATATTTAGTAATGTTTTCGGTCTTCCCGTCGGTTACCAGAGAGTGAGCGGACGAACAGTCAGACTGTCATAAAAGTTATCATTATTTACACAATTGTTGATTCATTTATAGGCAAATGAATTGTCAGTATTTGTTGACAATAGGAAACAACGAGCGATGCTTTGCTGCAAATGTTATCATTGATTAGATTTATAGTAATTGAATGACTGATCAAATGTTGATCGCATTTGAATCAATGGATTTAATATGATGTCAACAAATGTCCAAAACAAACAACATTTACTGTGAAAGTGAATGCAAAACAAGCGAATTATTACTAAACTTATGATTGAATTGTTTACAAACAAATAGTTTAAATTGTTTCAGTGAGGAGTCATTCAATTTTTCAAACATTACTCTATTTGTGTATTCAATTACATGAATAATATGTACACATATTTGCACACTATTTATCTGTGCATTACTTATATTCTGTATTTTAAATGTTTTGAATATAATTGATATAATTATTATATTACAGACTGAAGTGTTAGGCAAACGAAGTAAACATTCAGATGAAAAGCCATCTAAAAAATTTAAAGATAATCACCCGAACAGCTCTAATAGCGGCAAATCGCGGCCACAAAAGGCCAAAAACATACCCGTAATATACACTCATTGAATGAACAATTGATTGAGTTATGATATAATGAACAAAATATATCCGTTGTTTAGAGTATTAAAAATACGGAAACCACTTATTCAGAGCCTCAACAGAAAGCGGTCTCCAAAGCGAATGCAATTCAAATCAAGAACGATATTCCCAACCAATTCTGGCATTTCATTGAACCCTATTCTTGTGAAATCACTTCAGAACACATCAAAGTATTACATATTCTTACGAAAGGTAATCTTTGAATAAAGAGTAAACTAAAAGAGAACTTAACTTTCAAAAACTTGCTTCTTAATTTTAGTATACTTTGCCTAACACTCAAGATATTCTAGGGTTTAGAACCATTTGTAATATCACTGAAATGGGACGACAATGAGATCATTGATCAAAAGGACAAAAAGAAAGGTTTATGCGCTTCCAATTCCGGCGGTCGCTCTTCGATCATACACTCCAACAACAAAACTAAAAAGGGATCCAAAAATCAGTACGTCTTTCAGTCTTCTTCTCTTTCCTAATGATATTTTAAATTATTAATTGATTTATAAATTGTTTTAAAATGAATGGCAGGACTGATGCCGACAAGACATCGTATGGCGCTCTCACTCAACGGCTGGTCTCATGTCTTATAGAAGAGAATCTGTTAAACGGAGGTTTGATTGACTCGAAATCCATGTCAAACGACAACAACAACCTGAAGGGTGCGTCCAATGGGAGTCCGAACCATAAAGTGTTCAAATCTCTAGATCTCGGAAACACGACTCAACTCGAGAGACGTATTCGCAAAGAACTGGAAGAACACCGAATCATAAGTTTGGACGACATTCTCAACGGTTCGGACACTAGTGGTGGCGACGACGACGAGATCGTTCAGGAACTCAAACGATGTCAACAGGAGTTGAAGAGTTTGAGCGATAAAAATCAAACACAACTCAAACGACTGGTGAGTTCTGCCAAAAAAGAGATGACTCGTCAGGAAGTGTCCAAAAAGTTGGAAACCGCCGACTCGGAGGTCATTGAAGCCTATCGTCGTATTGTTTCGGCCAAACAGAAGAAACGGTCGCCAACTAAGAAGGAAAAGGAGAGCGCATCCAAAGCCATCAAAGACAGGGAACAGATTCTCAAACAATTACTATGTATTTCATAGTATTTTTTATGCATTCATTTCATTATTTATATAAATAGCAAAATATTTCATATTTAGCATTCATTTCCATACGTTATTATCAGTTATCGAAATAATATGTAATTTTTATATATTTGGAATAAAAGTGGGAAAAAATCTAAACATGAGATAAAGTTTTGAATGTTTTTTCGTGAATACACGATAGCGTTGAGGGAAATGACTGTTTTTAGTCGTCAATAGTATTAATGCGAAAACATTGCAAAACAGAGTGAAAATCGGAAACTAGTTTTACAGGTCTTATAGTAAGTGAAGGGGCGTTCTGTCAGTCCTTTGCAGTCGATTCCAGCATATATTGTATATGAGAGCCAATCACTCGATCCTATAAACGCTATACAACTCTATGGTAGGAATACTTGATATGATTGCATGAAATTCAACAAAGAGTCCAAAAGTCTGTCTATAATATTACAGTATAACTACAGGAGTAAAGTGAACAGTCATTCAGATATATAATTCAGTCATAGCAACGCTCGCTATCGTCTCATATAAAGTGAACATTATTTCATACTCACTGTAGTAGTGATCGGAACTTTATATGACTTTTGATACCACATTATTATTTGATCCAAACATCAAAAGCGAAACAATAGTATTTTAAACAACATTTATTCCTCTTTCCAAACGAGTATTAAATCATATATTGAATAATACGGTGCGAAATGTCAAACCAATTGACCACTAGTTTACAGCTCACGGCTGACCAGAAGGAAGAACTTTCCCGTCGATTCTCATCCGTAAGAGTAAAGAAGTTTGTCAATAAGTAAAAGATTGTTAATGAAGTATAAACAGAGTTTGTGAGTAACTAACGGAAAAGAATAGTATATAATCGTTTTTGAATACATTAAGAGTACTTTTGTTTCAAAAAAATCGAAACCAAAATGTGTTTTATTTTTCAAATTACAAAATGGTTTTTCACACCTTTTCGCAGTTTTTTTTGAAATTATTTTTCATTCACTTAATTTCCACGTTATTAAAGCTGACCTTTTAATAGGAATTATATTAATTGTTATCTCTTATGAAACACTTATTAATTAATCTCTAAAAACTACTTATTATTAAGTATTATTAAAGAACTCGATATTCTATAAACGATAAGTTACTTATTCTTTTTGCTCAAATATGCCAACTATTTGTCCACTTCTATCATATTCATAATTATTCAATATATAAACATTTATATTTATTAATTGATGACTAATAAACCACGCTATATACAATCCAGGCATAGTAACTCTGATTACGGTCTGTACAAACCACACTAAGTATTGAGATCTGATTTATGTGTAATTTATCACCAAACCATTAGAGTCTCGCAAATCATAAGTTAATTCAAATGTGTTTGCATTTTATCAATACATGCAATACAACCAAAATGTCATTTTCTGTTCATTTCCTTCCAATTTATTTACTAAAAAATCATTTTTATTAACGAAAAAAATTGTCATTTTATTATTAATAGTCGTTGATTTTTTATATACATCAGAGAGAGAGAGAGAGAGAGAGAGAGAGAGTGTTCATTTCCTTCCAATTTATTTACTAAAAAATCATTTTTATTAACGAAAAAAATTGTCATTTTATTATTAATAGTCGTTGATTTTTTATATACATCAGAGAGAGAGAGAGAGAGAGAGAGAGAGAGCCGGAGGCGTGAATTTTAAAGTTGTTTACTATATATACATAAGATTAGACATGTTTTTCAAAGCAAATCTGTTTAAGAATTTTGTAAAATCTCACAAATATATGAGATATTGTTGTTTCTCTTTTCCATGAACTTATTTATTGGGAAAATGTTTAAAACTAAATACAAATACAGCCATAGATTTGAAGGAAAGTAGAAGAATTGGAAAAACCGTTTAAATGTAAATATTTTTAAGAGACTGAAGGATTAGTGGATTAATTATGTCCGACAACTAGTGAAATATCATTTGATAGAAGTTGTGAACTATTTTCCAGATAAGGCTTTAAGTNTTATTAACGAAAAAAATTGTCATTTTATTATTAATAGTCGTTGATTTTTTATATACATCAGAGAGAGAGAGAGAGAGAGAGAGAGAGAGCCGGAGGCGTGAATTTTAAAGTTGTTTACTATATATACATAAGATTAGACATGTTTTTCAAAGCAAATCTGTTTAAGAATTTTGTAAAATCTCACAAATATATGAGATATTGTTGTTTCTCTTTTCCATGAACTTATTTATTGGGAAAATGTTTAAAACTAAATACAAATACAGCCATAGATTTGAAGGAAAGTAGAAGAATTGGAAAAACCGTTTAAATGTAAATATTTTTAAGAGACTGAAGGATTAGTGGATTAATTATGTCCGACAACTAGTGAAATATCATTTGATAGAAGTTGTGAACTATTTTCCAGATAAGGCTTTAAGTGCATTCACTTTCACATAAATTGGATAACTTTTAAGCAAACTTTTAATGTTTTTTATTAATATCTTGAATATTTTGCCCATTTATAGAAAGTAAAATGCAATTTATTTTATTTGAACTTATATTTGGTTTACTTTTGATTAATATATTTGAATTAAATATAATATTCATTCTGTTGTTGTGAAGTTAATTTCACTCATTTTTTATCGTTATTAAATAGCCTTGAAATCTATATATTTAGACATTTTACCACATCTAATGATATATTGATTTAGAGTTTAGTGTATTATTTCAAGTCATTGTTACCATTATTTTTGTAGATTAGCTTAAATTAGTGAAAATTAACACTCAATTACTGTATTGATATAGAAATAAATCACTTTTATTTATTAATGAATTAAATGTTTATACAATAATTTATTTTTCATTCATTAAATGACTTGACGTTTGCCGGTATATAACAGTTGGCATTACTTTTGCAATAAATATACATTTAAGTAATGTAATAAGTTTCCAAACAAATATTGCATCAATTTTTGGGAAAACAGTTTCAAATGTAATGTAATCTACCATTTAGTGAAACATACATTATAATAATGATAGGAATTTCCAGTTTATTTTAAATGAATTATAAATTGTGGACAATTTCCCGCTTACTCTTCATATATAATAATTACATTTATAACTGTTATTAATTCACTTTTCTAATCGATGAATTAATAATTAAAATATCTTTAATTTAATTTATAAATAAAATCATTTTTTGAATTTTAACCTTAAATATTATTTTATTGAATATTTTTATTAATAAAAAAGTTGTGTGCAATCAATGTTTAAAACATAAACCATAAATATTGATTATTAATAATACTGTATATTCTGTTTAATAGGAAAACAAAAATTATTTAAATTATTTTCCATCTGCAAAAATATAAAAATATTTGATTGAATTGATGTCAATATTGAATATAAAATGATTTTAGCATAAATGAAAACATTTGTAGAATCCATTTATCCAAAGTTTTACTGTTTATTTTTGATAATTATAATTATACAGTATGTGAACTTTGTTTTATTATAACTAATTAATTATATAGAATTTCCTATAATAGAAATACATTGAACTTGTTATTAATATTTTATTCTTTTTCCTTATATTTTGTGAATTATTTGCAAAAATACAAAAAATTCTTTGAATAACTCATTGATATCTAAGCGATTAAATGAATGATATTTTGCTAAATATTGAATGCATTTATATATTTATCATTTGATAACAAGGAGTACACAAATAGAGCGCTTAACACCAATATTTCAGATCATAAATGTTTAAGGTATTAGATGTTTGTATCCATGTTATTCTTAAATTTAACTAAAATTCTATATCAGTATTAGATATAATGTTAGAATTAGTAAATATACAATTTATTATATACATGATTAATCCAAATATTTGCTAGATACATTACTGTATTACTTAGCAATTATGCTTAATAATTGCTCGAATATTGATATATATTATAAGTATATGTTAGAATTAGTAAATATACAATTTATTATATACATGATTAATCCAAATATTTGCTAGATACATTACTGTATTACTTAGCAATTATGCTTAATAATTGCTCGAATATTGATATATATTATAAGTATTACAAAGTATTAAAAGAGTTTCACACGTAATTATACACGATTTTTATTTCACTGATTTGATACAATGATTGTATTTTACAAGCACTACATTTTTAACCACAATTCTTATACATTATAAAACTTAATTTATCACTTGATAATTATGTGTTAATAATTATAATTAGCGAAAATCATTACTATTACATTACCATTACTATCATGAATATTATTCACGAATTATAATATTGATAAAATATATGAATATATGAAAAATGATTGTGTGATCATCAGATCGATAGCGATGGCAATGGATATCTAGATGTAAGCGAACTGAAGGCAGCACTAGATGTGGTGGACTTAAAGCTCCCGCAATGGAAAGTGAGACAAATGATCGATGAGATGGAGAGGAAGAGATCATCGGACAGAAGGGGTCGACTCGATTACAACGAGTTTGAAAAGCTGTGCTCTGACCTCAAATCGCAAGACATTGCGCTCACATTTAAGACTATGGTTTCGAAGAGAGAAAATTTGGAGACATTGGGCGGAATGTCTGAAGCGAGCTCTGAGGGCACCACTCATTCGGTCCGACACGAAGAACAGGTGGCCTTTTCTCATTGGGTTAACTCGTATGTTATTTATTCAACTTTTCACCACTGATTGTCCCAAATTTTAATACTCATTAATTTGTTTGCAGTCATTTAATTCATGACAAAGACTTAAAGCATTTATTACCCATCGATTCGGACGGACGAGAGCTGTACGACAAAGTGAAGGACGGAATCCTTCTTTGGTATGTATTGCTTACCATTACATTGAAATATAAAATAGTTTGTTAATTATGAAAATGTTTGTTTGATTGTACAGTAAGATCATTAACCATTCGTGTCCCGACACTATCGACGAGAGAGCGATCAATAAGAAAAATCTAACCGTTTATACAAAACACGAGAACTTAACTCTAGCGCTGAATTCGTCGCAAGCGATCGGTTGTAATATAATTAATATCGACGCTCACGACCTGACCCGTGGAAAACCTCATCTAGTGTTGGGTCTGTTGTGGCAAATCATACGAATAGGTCTATTCAATCAGATAACTCTGGAGCACTGCCCCGGACTCGTCCAACTGGTCCACGACAACGAAGAGCTCTCGGAATTGTTGCGATTATCGCCCGAAAATATTCTGATTCGTTGGGTTAACTATCACTTAGAGAAGAGCGGTTCCAATCGACGGATCCATAATTTTACAAATGATATCAAGGATTCGGAAGTTTACACAATCCTATTGAAACAAATAGCGCCGACCGGCAGAGGAGTGAACACTCACGCCATGAGAGAACCCGACCTCTTGGAGAGGGCGGAGATTATGTTACAACAGGCCGACAAAATTGATTGCCGGAGCTTTTTGACGCCACAAGACGTGGTGAACGGGATCTACAAACTGAATGTGGCGTTTGTGGCCAATCTGTTCAACAATCACCCGGGTTTGGACACTCCCGACGAACCGCTGGAGTTGGAGAACATTGAGGAAACGCGCGAAGAGAGGACTTATCGCAATTGGATGAACAGTTTGGGAGTTTCTCCTTATGTTAATTGGCTTTACAGCGATTTAGCCGACGGTCTCGTGATATTCGAGTTATTCGATATAATAAAGCCGGGAGTCGTTCACTGGCCGCGAGTCCACAAGTCGTTCAGCAAATTGAAGGCTTTTATGGAAAAACTGGAGAATTGTAATTATGCGGTCGATTTGGGAAAACAGTTGAAATTCTCTTTGGTTGGAATCGCTGGTCAAGACATTTCTGATGGCAATCCCACACTAACTCTAGCCCTCGTCTGGCAATTGATGCGCGCCTACACTCTCAGCATTTTGACACAATTGGCCTCAAATGGTGGCACCGGTCAGGCTATCGTCGAATCAGAGATTGTCGATTGGGTGAACAAAAAGGTATTATAATTAGATATGATTTTATTTACTCGTTTCTAATCTATTATTTTCATTTAGTTAAGGGAAGCGAATAAGTCTTCATTGATCAGGAATTTTCAGGACCACAGTATAGCGACAGCGCTTCCAGTGATTGATCTCATCGATGCCATAAAACCTGGTTCTATAAGTTATGGACAGATATTACCCGGAAATACACCCCAAGTTAGTATTTGATATTCGAGTTATTCGATATAATAAAGCCGGGAGTCGTTCACTGGCCGCGAGTCCACAAGTCGTTCAGCAAATTGAAGGCTTTTATGGAAAAACTGGAGAATTGTAATTATGCGGTCGATTTGGGCAAACAGTTGAAATTCTCTTTGGTTGGAATCGCTGGTCAAGACATTTCTGACGGCAATCCCACACTAACTCTGGCCCTCGTCTGGCAATTGATGCGCGCCTACACTCTTAGCATTTTGACACAATTGGCCTCAAATGGTGGCACCGGTCAGGCTATCGTCGAATCAGAGATTGTCGATTGGGTTAACAAAAAGGTATTATAATTAGATATGATTTTATTTACTCGTTTCTAACCTATTATTTTCATTTAGTTAAGGGAAGCGAATAAGTCTTCAATGATCAGGAATTTTCAGGACCACAGTATAGCGACAGCGCTTCCAGTGATTGATCTCATCGATGCCATAAAACCTGGTTCTATAAGTTATGGACAGATATTACCCGGAAATACACCCCAAGTTAGTATCATTTACTACTACTGTATTCATACTTATTGATCCATTTGACAACACATTCAACAAAAACAACAAAACTTATCGACATTTATATTAAAAATAGGAAAAGTTAGCGAATGCTAAGTACGCGGTATCGATGGCCCGAAAAATCGGAGCCAGGATTTACGCCCTCCCGGAAGACATATCGGAAGTGAAGCCTAAGATGGTTATGACGGTCTACGCGTGTCTAATGGCTCTCGACTACATCCCAAACATGGGGTCCACGAATCACGAGTGATTGAAATTCAAGATTCAGTTTTATATTTTTCAAAATTCATCAATCGTTACATTATTTAACATTTGAAACAATTTTTATGTCGATATAAATATATATTTTTGTGCCTTAAAAATACATTTGTTTTGTTATAGTTCTATGGCTTTTAATACCAAACATACAAACAAAAAGCCATGGCTTAAAAATTTTTAATTTTTTATATATCTTCCGGTGTTATAGATGTGTCGCTCTTTTATTTCATTCAAAGATATAAATATAATGGAAAATATTTACATATATTTTAAAATTTGATTTTATTTATAAAATTATTTTTAAAAAAAAGTTTACTTATGAAATATATTTATAAAACTTAATCGAAGTTTCAGTTAAAGCAGTCATGAAATAACTGTTTGTATTAATGTTTTCGATTAAAGATATATCCAAAACAGTGGACTCTGTCTTCAATTGTTGCATATATTTAGTGGAACTTAAGTCCCAAACAATGGCTCCTTTGGAGTCTTCATCGCCGGCGCAAACGAGGGCTGAGCTCTCATTGAATGGATTGTTGAAAATGCGAGAACGGCTTAACTTGATTTGTTGTCGACCGCCTTCGTAGCGACGAATCACTTCCGGCTCTATAATGTGTCTATCATTTAGACCTTCACTCGCTTTCAATCCCATAACCTATTGGTGAAAATGACTGTTAAGTAAAACTAGAAATTAGGTGTGAATGAGTGGAGGACTCACATAATGGGTGACATTATTGTGTTTAGATGAGGGCCGACACGACAGTAACACTAGACCTAATTTGGGCTCAAAGTGTGCTGAACTGAACCGTCCGTCGAGTGGCAACTTTCGCATCGAAAAGCTCGAAGCGCTCAACGAATCGCTTGAATGGATTCTCTCGTAAAATGAAAAATTATGAAATTGTGTCGAAAGTATGCCATCGATGTCACCGACGGATGATTTAAATTGGATGTGATTTAACGAAACAACTGGTGATCTATCCTCAGACACCAGTTTATCCATATGTGTGGACATCATTCGGATGTCAAACAGCAGAATCTGGCCGTTATTTAGGCCGCAATAGAATTCGTGTTTGTTTTTCGGGTTAAAGCTTACACTCCAGGCGTCGGCCTCGAGATTATATGATATAATGGATGCTTTGCTCATAAGTGATGTCAGTTTAACAGTTCTATCTGAAGAAGTGGTCAAAATGGTTCCGTCGTATGCATTCACCTCCAAGTCTTTGATTGGTTTCGAGTGAATGCAAATGTTATCAGTTTTAAAGTCATTCAAAAATATCTTTTTAATACCAAAACCGGGAAATAACTGATTGTTTTGATTCGGTTGAGACACAGCTATCAACTCGAAGAGCGAAGAATAGCCCAAATGTCTGGATTCGCCGTAACAGCTGATCTCAATCTCTTTGATTCGTTGGAATCGATCCACATTTCTATTCAAAGAAGTCATTGTTTTGCTCTTTTTAATGATTTCTTCGGTGTTTCGCGAATTGGATCCAAAATATTGTAAACGTTTTTGACAATCAATTAACTCTTTCTTAATCCTCTCGTTCTCTTCGAGCGCTGATTTCAATTTAATGCTGTCTTCGATGGCATCTAACTCTAGCTTTTCCCTCTCTTGCCGTTCTTTGCGGAGCTGTTCCAGCGCTGCGTCCCTTTCACTCGTATCCAAAGCGCGAAGATTTCTGGCGTAAATGAGACGAATGTCTTTGCGTTTGGCCTTATAATTACATTGAGGACACCTCTGGTTCTGCTTATTCTTCGGGTTCAACCACTGGTCAATACATCGGCGACC